TTTTATTGCATCCACTTAGGCTTTCCTTCTCCCTGCTTGGCAATACCGACAGGGAATTAAAAATGGGTAGTTGGCTCATCTCCTTCTTCCCATTGCCCTGGCAAGGTTATTCTAACACTAGTGGCTCAGTGCACGGATTTGTGCACATTGAAAGGAAATTAATCAGAAGAAATATTTAATATCGCTATTTTCCCTTTCTCTATAATAGAAGTGTCAACCAAATTCACAATCGACAATGACAGATAGAAACACACCCATGCACTTGGCACCAGCGAGAGCTTTATATGTATCACACATGCACAAGTCAACTTAGCCTTTTATATATATAAGACTAGAGGCCGATGCATGAAATTCGAGCAAGAGAAGGCCTTCCTTCCCCCAGCTGCTGGCACCGGCTTCCCTCTGGTACCCAGGACCCGGGCTTCCCTCCAGCTACCTGCAGGCACCGGGGACCTGGGCTTCCCTCACAGCCCTGACTTCGTCCAGAAGGTCATCCAGTCTAATTAGCATATTATGCTTTTATTATTATACTAGAGGCCTGGTGCACAAAAATTTGTGCACTCAGGGGGGTGGGGAGGGGGGGTCCCCCAGCCCGGCCTGTGCCCTCTCACAGTCTGGGACCCCTCGGGAGATAACGACCTGCTGGCTTAGGCCTGCTCCCGGGTGGCAGAGGGCACGCCCAATCCCTAAGTGCAGCCCCTGGTCAGGCTCAGAGCAGGGCCGATTGGGGAGTTGGGGCGCCGCCCCATCATGCACAGAGCAGGGCGGATCGGGAGGTTGCAATGCCACCCTCAGTCACGCTCAGGGTAGGGCCGATTGGGGGGTTGGGGCACCGCCCCCTGTCACACTCAAGGCAGGGTCGATGGGGAGGTTGCGGTGCCACCCCCTGTCACGCACAGAGCAGGGCCGATCAGGGGGTTGGGGCGCCGCCCCCTGTCACGCACAGAGCAGGGCCGATCAGGGGGTTGGGGCGCCGCCCCCTGTCACGCACAGAGCAGGGCCGATCAGGGGGTTGGGGCGCCGCCCCCTGTCACGCACAGAGCAGGGCCGATCAGGGGGTTGGGGCGCCGCCCCCTGTCACGCACAGAGCAGGGCTGATCAGGGGGTTGGGG